ATCAGTGGAGGGAAAAGGAGAAACATGTGTAACAAAAATTAATTAATAAAAAAATAAATTAAAAAAAAATATATAACTTAAAATAAAAAAATAGTAACCTTACATGTAAATGGCTTAAATGCCCCAATCAAACCCATACATATGCTGTCTACAAGAGACCCACCTCACAACAAGAGACTCACACAGGATGAAAGCGAAGGGATGGAAAAAAATTTTCCAGGCAAATGGAAATGAAAAACAAGCTGGTGTAACAATACTCATATCTGATAAGATAGACTTCAAAACAAGGGTCATAATAAGAGACAAAGAAGGTCACTACCTAATATTAAAAGGAATAATCGAACAAAAAGATATAACCCTGGTTAACATATAAGCACCAAACACTGGAGCACCAAAATATGTTTAAAACTTCTGGAGGACTTCTCAGGAAAGATTAATAGCAATACAACCACAGTGGGTGACTTTAACACCCCACTGACACCACTGGATAAATCTTCTAGACTAAAAATTAACAGGGACACAGAGTCCTTAAATGACCAACTAGGTCAACTGGACTTAATTGATATTTACAGAACATTTCACCCCAAAGCTGCATAATATACATTCTTCTCAAGTGAACACGGCTTCGCGGGGGAGTTTTACTGAACATTCAAAGAAGATCTAACAGTCATTCAGCTCATATTATTCCCCAAAATCCCAGAAGACGGAAGACCTCCAAACTCATTTCATGAGGCCAACATAATTCTAATTCCAAAACCAGATAAATACACTACAAAGAAAGAAAACTACAGGCCAATATCCTTGATGAACACAGATGACAAAATCCTTAACAAAATATTAGCAAATTGGAATCCAGCAATACATTAAAAAATTATTCATCATGGCCAAAAGATGCAGAGACAGTACAATATCCACAAATCAATAAATGTGATGCACCACATAAACAAAATGAAAGATTAAAACCATATGATCATTATCAATATATGCTAAAAACACATTCAACAATATCCAGCACCCATTTCTTATAAAAACACTCAGCAATGTGGGAATAAAGATGTCATATCTTGATATAATAAAAGCCATATATGAAAAACCTACAGCCAACATCCTACTCAGTGGGTAAAAACTAAAAGCATTTCCCTTAAGAACAGGAACAAGACAGGGATGCCCACTCTCACCAATCTTATTTAACACAGTACTGGAAGTCTTAGCCACAGCTATTAGACATTTTAAAAAATAAAAGAAATCCAAATTGGAAAGGAGAAAGTGAAACTGTCATTATTTGCAGATGACATGATACTGTACATAGAAAACCCTAAAGACTACATCAAAAACTTACTAGATTTAATAAATGAGTTTGGCAGAATAGTAGGATACAAAATTAACGTCAAGAAATTGACTGCATTTTGTACACCTACAACAAACTCAATGAAAGAGAAACTAAAAAACCAATCCCATTTGCCATTGCTGCAAAAGAATTAAGATACCTAGGAATAAACTTAAAGAAGTAATGGACCTATTTGCAGAAAACTACAGATCATTGAAAAGAAATCGAGGAAGATATAAAAAAGTGAAAGCATACACTTTATTCATAGATTGGAAGAATTAACATCATTAAAATGTCCATACTACCCAAAGCAATGTATAAATTCAATGTAATCCCCATCAAAATACCTATGACATATCTCACAGAACTAGAACAAATACTCCGAAAGTTTATATGGAACCAAAAAAGACCCTGAAATGCTACAGCAATCTTGAAAAAGAAGAACAAAGTAGGAGAGGTCACAATATTGGATATCAGGTTATACTACAAAGCCACTGTAATCAAAACAGCCTGGTACTGGCACAAGAACAGGCATATAGACCAGTGGAACAGAACAGAGAACCCAGAAATGGACCCAAGGCAATATGCTCAATTAATATTTGACAAAGGTGGCAAGAGCATACAGTGGAGGCAAGACAGCCTCTTCAATAAATGGTGTTGGAAAAATTGGACAGCTACATGCAAAAAAATTAAGTTAGACCACCAACTTACACCATACACAAGAATAAACTCAAAATGGATAAAAGACTTAAATTGACTCGTTAATCCATAAAAATCCTAGAAGATAATGTAGGCAACAAACTTTCAGACATCACACGCAGCAGAATTTTCACTGATATAATGCCAAAGGCAATAGAAACAAAGGAAAAAAATGAACACATGCGACTACATCAAACTAAAAAGCTCTGCACAGTAAAAGAGACAACCATCAAAATGGAAAGGGAACCCACTGTATGGAAGAGCATAATTGTCAATGATACATCAAATAAAGAGCTAATTTCCAAAATATATAGAGTACTCATACAACTCAACAAAAGGAAGACAATGAACTCAATTAAAAAATGGGCAGAGGACCTAAAGAAACACCTCTCCAAACAGGACATACAAATGAGCAAGAGACATATGAAAAAATGCTCAACGTCACTAATCATCAGAGAGATGCAAATTAAAACAACAATGAAGTATCACCTCACATCTGTCAGAATGGCTGCCATCAACAAATCATCAAACAATAAGTGCTGACCAGGGTGTGGCAAAAAAGGGACTCTGGTACACTGCTGGTGGGAATGCAGACTGGTGCAGCCACTATGGAAGACTTGGTGTTACCTCAAAAACTTAAAAATTGAACTTCCATTTGACCCAATGATCCCACTTCTAGGAATACATCCTAAGAAGCCTGAAACACCAAGATCTGGAAACAGCCCAAGTGTCCATCAATAGATGCATGGATAAAAAAGCTGTGGTACATATACACCGTGGAATACTATGCAGTCGTAAGAAAGAAAGATCTCTTATCTTTTGAGATGACATGGAGGGACCTGGAGAGTAGTATCCTAAGCGTAATAAGCCAGTCAGAGAAAGACAAGTATCACATGATCTCACTTATTTGTGGAATATAATGAATAAAACAAGCTGAGGAACAAAATAGACCCAGGGACATAGAAGGGTGGTGTAGAGTGACAAACCTCTGAGGAGGTGCATGTGGGGTGAGGGAATAGATAAACCACAGTACTTATATGTATGTATGCGTAAACAAGGACATAGACAATAATGCTGGGGGTGGGGGACAGTACTGGGTGTGTCAATAGGGGAAAAAGGAGAAACATCTTTAACAAAAATAAATTAATAATAAATAAATAAAATAAAATAAATTATTTAAAAAAATAAACACTAACAAAAAAAAAGCAAGCTCATAGATACAGAGAACAGATTGGTTGCCAAAGGTGGGAGATGGAGGGATGGTCAAAATAATACAAACTTCCAATTATACAATAAATAAGTCATGGGGCTATAATGTACCTCATGGTGATAATAGTTCATAATACTGTATTGCATATATGAAAGTTGGTAAGAGAGTAAATCTTAAAAGATCTCTTCATAAGAAAAATATGTATAACTATGTATGGTGATGGATGTTAACTAGACTGATTGTGGTGATCATTTCACAATATATACAAATATTAAATCATTATATTGTATACCTGAAATTAAAAAAATAAATAAATGAATATAAAAAAATAGTAATAAAATAAAATAAACCTAGAAAATATCCTCAGGTGAGGACAAAAAAAAAAAAAGAAAAAGAAAGAAAAACAGGTGGTAGGCAGGCTGGCTGTATGATTTGGCCAAATGGCCACAAATTTGCCAACCTCAGAGCTAGAGTCTCTCTAGGTCTGCCCTAGTTCTGGCATTATGTGGTTCTTATCTCTATCCTGCTAAAGGTCTACATGAGGCCCAGAGAGAGATTAAGTTTTTTTTATTTTTTTATTCTCACCTGAGGACATTTTTCCATTGTTTGTTCAGACAGAGTAGGAGGGAGAGAGAGGAAGAGAGAGAAACATAAGGGACGCATCGAGTGACTGCCACCCACACAACCCAACCAGTGCCTGGGACAAACTGCAACTGAGGTATGCGCCCTTAGCGGGAACCGAACCCAGGTCTCTCTAGACTGCAGGCGGACGCTCTAACCGCTGAGCCAAATTGGCCAGGTTGAGAGATTATTAAGTTTGAACTCAAATTCGGGCTTCCTGTTGCCCAGTCCAGGGCCCTTAACAAGGCTTTAAGCTGCTGATTTAGTCATGATTTCAGATGTGGTCTTTGTGTCCATGTAGTGCAGAAAATAAATGTGTGGTCAGTGGCCCTTTTCAGGAGTTGACCACGTAAGAGCTGTCCTCTTATTAGTGGCAAGTGGCAACCTAAGTTTCTCACGCCTGACCCTAGGCTTACTCACCTTTTTCGTTTATGTCTCTCCTGGGGTTGGCACAGGCCCACCCGTGTGGCCCATCTGTCCCTTACTATTTGAGTCCCTGTTTTCTTATTGGAGGCCTTCAAAGCAGCTAGAAAATGTATTTTTAACTTTAAGTGGAATTTGGGGTTATCAGCGTGAAGCCTGGAGCAGTTACTCTGAGCAAGGGCTCTTTCAGCCCTGACATTCTATAGCTTTATGGTTCAGTCGAGTGTTCAACTAACTCCGCCCAGCTTCCCAAGCCGGACTTTCACTGTGGGTAATAATTGAGGTATTTGCTCAAGGTCCGGGGAATAATATGCACTTTGTTTGTTTGTTTGTTTGTTTTCATTTCTGTTGTCGTCGGAATCTGCTTGGTTGCCAAGCACCACACTAGTCCGCCTGGTAGTCCTTCCTCTAGGCTCAACTGCTCCAGTCGCCTCGCAACCGCAGCTTTGCGACAGGGGCTTGGGAACGGGACGGGAAGTGTTCGTTGGCGCTCAGGGGGCGGCGGCAACAGCGCCACCTGCCCCGAAGAACCATGCCGCGAGGCAAGTCCCGGCTCAATGTGGAGTGGCTAGGCTACTCGCCTGGGATGCTCCTTGACCACAGGCCGCCCCCGGCGGGGCGCACGCCAAGGAGCCCTGGTCGGTAAGTCACGTGGACACCTGCGCTCGCCTCCTATCGCGTCACCGCAGTGCGCCACGCCTGCGCGCTGCGTCCCGCCACTCGGCGCTCGCCGGCACTTCCGGCGCGGCTATGGCTACCGCTTTTGGCGGAGCCAATTAAGGGTGGCCGTTTAACCCTGTGCGCCTGCGAGGATCTGCTGCGGGTGGCAACGCCATGGAACGCCTTGATAAAGCAGCGCTAAACGCGCTGCAGCCGCCCGACGTCAGGTAGTCCAGAGCGGTAGTCGGGCAGGGATGGGCCCCCGAGCGTGAAGCGAGCCAGCCCGGGCCTGGAGCTGGGCTGAGGGAAGGCCAGAGCCAAAAGGGCAGGCCTGAGAAGTGTGTGACTTCTGGACCCTTGGGGCCCAGCTGCAGGGTGGGGGAGCGGGAAAGCAGGGAAGCAGGTTGGGGCCTGCACGTCTGCACGCCTGGTCCCGGCCCTTCGCTCGGAAACAAGGGGACCAGGGTCATGGGAGGATAGTCTGGCGGGCCTACAGTCTATGCTTTTGTCTTAGCACTTCCTTTCGCTGTCCTCTATACTGCGATCTTCCTGTCTGCAGTCTCTTTACCCAATACAGGGTGTCCCCTTAGTACAGGAGCTCGGCCTTCTCCATCTCCTTGTCCCCTACAGGGCTTGCATCATCGGGGCTTAATAAGTGTTTGATGGATGGATGAATGAATGAATGAATGAATGAATGAAGAAAGAAAGAAAGAAAGAAAGAAAGAAAGAAAGAAAGAAAGAAAGAAAGAAAGAAAGAAAGAAAGAGTAGAGGCTGTCCCTGGTGTGAGACTGCTTCCGTTGGGGAGTTAGTAGGATGGGGCCTGGTGGCTGAATAGAAGGAGTCTGAGAGCAGGTGGTTATGCCCGACTAGCCCAGCCACTGGTACCTTGGTAGGCAAGAGGTTGGGAAGGGATTTAGCTACCATTCAATGATGACCTGTGTGCCAAGCTCAACTTAGGTGCTTTGTTATAGATATTATGAGAATTAAGAAAGTACTTAGTTTCCTGATTTTAAAGAAGAGGAAGGTGACTCAGGGTAAGTGACTTGCCCAATATCACAGTTAGGCCACACAGTAAGAGTTGAAGCTGGCAGCTGACCAAGCCCACTAATCCCAAATCCTGTGATCTTTAGAGCTTGTGCTCTATTTACAGTGTCAGTGTGGGTTTTTATTATCTGCTTGGTGTTTGCTGCAGCCGTTTGTATGAAGAGAGTAAACTAAGTGGTTTTAAGAGTGGGACACAATAAGGTTCATCCTGAATTATTTGTGTGAGACCAACTTTAATTCTGAACTTCCACATTGTTCTTTTCTAACAAGTTTCAGTAACACTCAAAGATACATAGAACAAATCAATTGAATGCCATCAGTTACTTTGTTTAAGAATAAATCACTGGTTGTACCCAAGCTGTCTTAAGCCAGCAGAACTGCCAGCTGCAGTGGGCTGTGGCTGGAAGCCAGGGGGAAAATGCCCTTTAAGCACTAGAGGACGTTTGCTAGTTTTCAAAAGTTTGTGTGCAACTTTATAGTTCCATATTTGTAAGGTCACAACCCAGAGTAAGTTAGATTTTTGGAGTTTAAGGTATAGAGAAAAGAGGAGTTGAAGATAAACTACACATTTTTAAGATATGTTGATTGTGGAGTGTGTGGGGCTAGACATTAACATGCAGAAAAGAAAAGATTGTGTTGGTGGTGGAATTGGAACTGATTTTGTTTGCTTTAAAACATTTTTATGTTATTATATCTTCTTTTCAATAATAAACTTTTTTTCAAAGCCAGAGGTCATCTAAAAAAGAGAGAACCAGTTAATCAGCTCTTTCTCTAGATTCTTAAGCTTTGTTTCTTTATCAGGTTAAATAATCTGAACTTTACATCCCTAAAACACATAATTTAACTCACCATAGAAACACCCTGAGAGTCAAGTTTTTTTTGTTGGGGTCCACAAAAGAATTGGCCAAATCCTGACTTTGTGGAGTTTTTTTTGTTTGTTTTTTAATCCTCACCTGAGGATATTTTTTCATTTTATCATCAGATAGAGTAGAAGGGGGAGAGAGAGAAAGGGGAAGAAACATCCATGTGAGAGAGACACATCAATTGGTTGCCTCCCACACAACCCCAACCAGGGCTGGGAATCCACAACCCATGTACATGCCCTTGACCGGAATCAAACCCATAACTTTTTGGTCTGCAGGCCTACACTCCAGCTGCTGAGCCAAACTGGCCAGGCCTGACTTTGTGTTTTTTATATAACTACTTCAGACACTTGTATTCTTCATGAAGATTACACAATAAATTCCTCTAAACATTTACTGCTAGGAAACAGTTTAAGGACGCTCATGCATATTAGATGAGGAATATATAGCTTAGTGATCACCAAAGTGTAAAATGCTAAAATGTTAAATGTTAAAGAAAATATTAGAACTTCTACATAAATTTTAGTATCTTTTTTAGTATCAATTTTGCATATGTTTTATATTTTAAAGACTATATTAGTAATATGTGTATAAATAATTTATTTAAAATATCAAAATGGTCATATGGGGTATGTGCTCATAACTTTTATTTAATGATAGATTGCACAGTCAAAAAAGTTTGTAACAATTGAAATAAACTTGAGATATTCTTTTTCTTTTGGGGCTGTCAGAAACCTTCCTGCTAATTATATATACAATTTTAAGAATTCCTTTGAGTTTTCTAGAGATACAGAGAGATGTGCAGGACTATCTGGGAGACAAGCTGTCATATCAAGTATTGTAATAACAGGTATAAATGAATGAAGTGTGATTGGATCCCAGAGCAGTGACTCTTTGCAGGGTGTAATCAGGAAAGGTGCCCGAAGGAGAGGCTATTTTGGGGGGACCTTGAAGACTGAGCTGTCTCTTTCCTAAAGATACAAATAAAAACTAAAGCCTCTAGTTGAGGATTACCCAAAAGATAATTAAATTCAAGTGTTGACTCTGGGCATAAAGTTAGAAGTGTGTTAAGTAGTCTGAGGCTGGTTAGATTTAAGGAGGAAAAGGACCTTAAACTAATGATTACAGCTATAGGGTTGGGCTTTTATAATTAATCAGGTGGTGTGTAGGTGTTCAGGGTTGCTGGAAGCTTGCTAAGGCTTCACTTTCAGTAGTGTTGGCTCATTTGTAACAATGCATGGGACAAATGCTAACATTAAAAAGTCAGTAAAAGAGCATCAGGGCTTGGCAAAGTTATTCTGTAAAGGGCCAGATAGTAAATAGTTTAGGTTTTGAGGGCTATATGGTCTACTACTCAGTGCTGCCTTTTTAGCTCTAAAGCAGTCTTAGATGATACATAAACAGATGGGTGAAGTTGTGTCCTAATTAAACTTTATTCACAGAGATAGGTGGTGGACCCCCAGACCTTATTTTGCAGACCCCTGATATACATAATACATTGTAGTTTGCCTTGTTAATTTGTTACATGAATATTTTCTGAATAATAGTTAGAATTCCTCTTAATATCTCCATATATTGATGGTACATCATTTGAGAAATCATTTTCCTATTCTTAGACATTTTTATGTTACCCAGTTTTGTTTATGCTATTATATTAATCTTCATATTGTAAATGTTTTAAGTAGCAGTCTGTTGGACATATTTTTTTTTACGTAGATAATTTTAAAACTTGGTTACATTCTTTAGAATAGTTTTATTGTACTCTGGAACAAAACTATTTGCATTGGAGTATTTTCTTCTTTTTAAAATAGTCCGTGGACAAATAGAATTCAGTGAAGAGAAAGTGCTTTGACATTCAAACTTTTACTGCATCCATGTTATGTGAAAGCCATCTAAAAGGTACTAGAGCTATTTAATTCTAAAGAAATTTGAGTAATTTCCTTCAGCTACATCCAGATTGCTCTAGACTGATTTTTCTTTGGAGATTCTCATGCCTTGTTTGTACAATGTTCAGCTCGTCATTAGTTGTTTTATGTGTATCTTCTCCCTTGCCACCTCCATTGTAAATTCTGTAATTATAGTGTACATTTGCATAGCACTTTGGAGATTACAAACTACTTTCATACTTTGGTACTTCTTTCTCGCTGAATTTGACTGACAATCACTTGGAGATGGGCCTGCAGCTGGGTCTCTAAGATCTTTCAATTTGGAGTCCCTGACTGCTCTTCCTGGGGCCACTGCTTCCAAGGCAGGAGCAGGGTTTCCAGAGTCTTCTCTGTGAGTATTTATAGTGTTTATAGACACAGGAAGGTTTGGAAGTGGCTATACAGGTTCTGATTTTCTCTTTGTTTACTTTATTCCAGAAATGAAAGTTCATTAGCATCTACCTTGAAGACTCTCCTATTCTTCACAGTGTTAATGATCACTGTACCTATTGGGTTATATTTCACCACTAAATCTTATGTTTTTGAAGGTAATCCTATTTTTATAGACATATTACTATATTGAATGTTCTGTGCTTTATGACCTCTTTATAAATGTAAACTGAGTATTCTTAAGTTTGCTTCTTTCTTCTATTTTGCTTTTCAAATATAATGTTGCTCATAATGAGTCTTGCTTCATTTTCATTACTCATAATTATTACAGCTTGACATACTTGTTTATGGTTTTCTATGAAATAGCTTTCAGATCCTTTCTTTTAATATCCTTTTGAGAGCAAAAGTTGACCGACATAGGAGGAGGATTTGGGGGAATGTACCTTTAGTGGCATACATTGGAAGGAAGAGGAAATAAAGTCCCCTTTTTTTGTGTTAGAGATCTTAGATGAAGTGATAATTACAGTTTTCATTCAAAATAGTTTTTCATGTATAAAAGGTATTCAAATCTTTAAATGAATACTTGTTTTAACACCACCCCAAGTGTCACTTTTTAATTCCCTGATTAATTAAATATGTAGCTAATAAAAATTAATCTGCTTTGTTTTTTGTACTGTGATAAATTTTGGAATAAAATGAAAACTTTTTTCTCTTGATAGGCGCCTTTGGGATGTCCAATAGGGACAGCTATTTTTACGCTGCTATTGTTGCAGTGGTTGCTGTCCACGTGGTGCTGGCCCTCTTTGTCTATGTGGCCTGGAATGAAGGCTCACGACAGTGGCGTGAAGGCAAACAGGATTAAAGTACACATCACCTTTTGATAGCATTAAATAAATTTTTTTAAGAATAGAAGATGCATCCGGGATACTGATTATTTCAATAATATTGAAAGAACATGTTAAAATCTGTATAAAGGAGTCATGCGTAACAAGTTTGACTACTGTAAATTTTGATCCTTCTAATACAATGGTTTGTATTGTTCGTTTCAACTGTGCAAGCCTCTCATTTGCCAATGAGAATTTGGAAAAATGAAATTCATTACAAATAATATGTTTAATTACAAATTATTTTGGGAAGAATTTGATTCTTTTACAACAAATATGTTTCATAGCATTTTGTCTTTTAGTTGGTTTTAGTTTTAGTTTTACTTTTCCGGATATATTAATAGGTACACAGTGAAGCAAATCTAAACTTTATTTTTTCTGAAATACTTTTCCTAACTATCATGAAAGTACCAGATCATTGGATTTTGGGTTGTAAATTCCTATGGAAAATTGCTTTAATTGTGAATGCTGGAATTATTCTGAATGTCACTGAGAAATTTCAAATAAAGTATAATCCCTAGTCAGTAGGAATCTTTCATTACATTATTTCATGGGGAAACTAGGCTGAATTCCACCCGTTTTACACGCACTGATTTATTGAAGGATCTCAATAGCAAAGCAGAGCTAGCTACTCCCTAAAGGCCCCTTGCAGGCCAGACTGTGCTTTCAGACGAACTCTTGAATAATCTGTCTTGCTCTTGCTCAACAATGAAGTTATGCTTTAATTACCAGGTTTTTAAAAAAAAATTACCAGGTTTGTCTAAATTCCCTTTAAAGTTATTTTTCCTACTGTTTTTTTTAATACTGTATATGATAGGGATTTACATTTAAATGTTTATTTTTGCATACTTAGGGAGTGTGAACAATCCTGAAAATCGATAGTTTTTATCGATTTTATAGTATCCTTGGGATCTATAGTTTAGTTTTTTTAATCAGAGCTGTTATATCCCAGATATGTATAATTAGATAATTCTTGAGGCTCTTTATGATAGAAAAAGACCCTGTGTTTTTTGTTTTAGTATCTTTAGTTGGTTCTTTCTAGCCACTTGCTACTACTTGTATGCAATCTAAAAGTACACCTGGAAAATTGCATATTAAAACAGAAAGAAAATTTAATTTCCCTATAATTTTGCTTCTTGGAGATAACCACTATTTTGGTTTACATCCTGTGTACATTTCTTTTTTCTTTTTTTTAAATCCTCACCCGAGGACATTTTTCCATTTTTTGTTCAGATAGAGTGGGAGGGGGAGAGAGGAAGAGAGAGAGAGAGAGAGAGAAACATCGACTTGAAAGGGACACATCGAGTAGCTGCCACCCACACGACCAACTAGAGCCGGGGACAAACTGCAACCGAGTTACGCGCCCTTAGCAGGAACCGAACCCAGGTCTCTCTGGACTGCAGGCCGATGCTCTATCCGCTGAGCCAAACTTGTCAGGGCCTGTGTACATTTCTTAATGCTAGTTGGATACTCACTGAGAGTTTGGATTAAGTTCAAATTCTGGCATCTTTTCCTCAGCTATATGCGTTTTATTCACATGGGTGATTAGTGGCCATTTTCTAAAAACAAAAAACACATTCTACATTTATTCTTTCAAGTAGGTATCTCATTGTTCAAATTTTCTGTTACTGTTAATTGCTAATACAATGGACCTTGCTGTAGTGTTTCCCATTACAAATTTGTTTGTTCACCCCTATTTTTTAATGTGGAATTGGATTCTTGCTTAGAGTTAAATGTTGTTTGTTGTTTGTTGTTTAATGTCTTCTACAAACAGTTATTCTAAAGTGTTTTTCTTTAAAAAAAAAGACTAAAGTTTTAGTAAAATATTGTACAAATATAATGTAAAAGTATAGAATACCCCTGTTTGATTCTGGGGTATTGTGTGGTATAATTCTAGATGGTTCCCACTTCAGATGCCTTGTTGTACTTAGAATTGTTTTCCACCTAATTTTCTTTTTCTATAATGCCAAGGTTGTCCTTGTACTTTTGAGATATTATGCTATTTGTAAAATATTTGTGTCTAATATTGGATTAGTTTGTTTGACTTCAGAAATTTGCTGAGTAGATAATGATATGGGTATTTTTCTGCACGTATTTAAACTGCAAAAGCAGTTGTTAATTTCCTCTTGGAAAAAGTATCAAGTGATTGAAATTTAGACTTGGATGCGAGTGTTGTTATTTAGGGGTGTAGTTCGTCCCTCGCCACTTGGCGCTTTGACTTTCCCGGCTTCGCTCTATCGCGGTTTTTTCAAATACTACACTATACTGTATTTAAAAAAACCGCAATAGAGTGCAGTGGCAAAAGTCGAAGCAGGAAGTGGCAGGGGGCGACTGTGTATAAATAAAGAATCCTACTTCGCAGAAATTCATTTATCGTGGTAGAGTCTGGGACTGATTAACCGCAATAAACGAGGGCTGACAGTGTTACAGTATAGACTTGTTTTTAAACCAATTAATTTTTTCCTGAAGTTTCAACTGTTAACTTGTTTGCTGCTATTGAAATAGCATGGTATTTGACATACAGATTTATTGTTCACTGGTTTTCTGTTGCACAATGTACATACTTCAGGATGCATAGAAAGGAAATCTGCAGTTGAGCTCTTATAAATGTTTTAAGATAGGAATATGTTCACTGTCGTTTGAAAACTAATTGTATGAATAATCTTAATTAGGAAGTGTAACTGGAAATGTCAGTACAAACTACTGATATAACTCCTTTTACTGTAACACATTACCCTTCTCACCGCACATCCTTTTTGCCCACCCCCCACCTCAGAATATAATCTCTTTTCCCCATTCTGCTGAAAATAGAAAAGTCTGCTGTAGAATGCATTTGATTTTATTAGCTCTTCAAATGGATACCATTTTATATGTAGCAGCAAAGTTCAGTTTCGAGTTGTTACTGAAAAAATTTAAACCTTTCATTCAAAACAAAACAAACTTATGTTTCCTGGAGATCTAACTGAAACAAACACATTGTGATAATTAGACTGTTTTAATCATGAAACTCTCATCAGAAATTTTGCCAAAAGAGGCAACTGATTGACTTTTTTGGTATTTATTTTCCATTTTCACATAAATTTTATGTATACATCTAGAGTACCCAAGGAGACCAGTAAAAACAGTTAAGTAAGAAGTGCCCAAGGAAAGATGAAAGCTGAAGGTACATGAAATAAAGGATTGAAATCCTATTTTAACCATATCTAGTGTGTATTTCTTGTCTCCAGACAAGTTTATGTTTATTGCTTCATGCTCAAGTGAAATTGTAGACTTGTTTGGCCTTTTTTATAAGTGGTTCAGCTATGGTACTGACTTTGTCACTTGTCTTAGGTCAGCAGCAGATTTCTGTGCTGTCAAGCACTCTGCATCCTCCACCAGAGTAGTACAACTTTATTAATTCAGATTCAACTCATATTTAAGATAAATTTTGCTAGAGCTGGACTGAAGCAGCATATTAATAACTTGACAATATTTTTTTTTATTTTTGGCAGGGGGAAGGGTCACCTGAGAAAATAAGTTATTTTCAGGGACTTTGGGAGCCTAATGATAAATATTACATGTAATCTGTGAAGAGCTTAAACCCTTACATATTTATTAAAGTATTCTGGAATTCCTAAAGTTACCATCATTCCTGGCCATGCTTTTCTTGCCTGTTTTGTTGCTATGTGTACTTGAAAATAATATCTGTGTTGTTTTTAAGATGTTCTACAAGTCATTTTTGTCAGTTACACAGACTAGTCTTCCTTTTTTTCACGTTCAGTGAAATCTCACTGAACAGTAATAATAGCAATAGCTAACAACATCTGCACAGCACCTTACAGTTTGCAAAGAACATTCACATATTCTTGTTCGAGTTTTGCATAGTGAACCTTTTACCCGATGTTTCTTGACATCAATGCTTAAAATGGTTAGAATCTTTAAATCATTAGAGTCATTGAATATGCTGTCGTCTTCAATAGTGCCCTGACTAGGGGCAGACTAGATGCTCTATGTTGAAAACTGTGTAATTATCAAAATGGGGGGCTTGAATTTTTTAGCCACCTGAATCAGATTTTCTTTTGTTAAGTGATACTTTTTAAACCATTATCTGGATGGATTTTGTATTCATTATCTTCTAGCCTGTAATTTGTATAAATTTACCATCTGTTGTCATTAAAAAGGTATTCGTAATGCCACTTTGATGTGTCCTGATTCAATTAATAGTAACTTTATTAAACTCTGTTTTTTTTAACATTTGTTTGACTCTCTGTTTATATCATATAGAATATGTACAGAGCTATTAAGGGTAGGCTTTTATGCAATAAATGTAGACCAGAATGCTCAAACTGATGGGGATCTTTGAGGAGTACTTAGGAAGGGCTGGTTAGACTCCATCGCAATGGGCCCATCAGAATTTGTGTGGCAGTGGCGAAAAGAAAGCAGCTCCTTGCCCTGTGGCTTTTTGAAAATTTTCACTTAGGGGTGGATGGGCTTCAAACACTTCTAAAAGAGAGACTGAGAAATACTTGTGGCTAATTAACAATGGGGGTAGTCAATTCCTGATGATGTCCAGCATGCCACCCCTCATGCCAGTGTTCTTTGTCCTTTGTCCTCTAGCCACCTGTTGATTATACTCATTCCAGCTCCTTTCTGCACTTCTGAGGGATTCAGCTAGTTCTTATTAATAAATCCTATCTCCTTCCAAAAAAAAGATATCTTGGTATCAAAATATACAGATTATATACAATTATATTTATATACAAAAATAGATTACAAAATATCCAGGGAACTCAGTAGACTTGTAATGACCTTTTAGAAACCATTAGAATCATCTTATAGGATTTACTGCGCAGACCTAACCCAGAACTACGGAATCAGAACCTCTGGGGGTGGAGCCTGGAAACATATTTATGACAGGCTGTAATCTGACACAGCCAATTTGAGGACCTCTGCTAGGGATTGAGAATTGTGTATGTATTTTTTTTTTTTTAATGTTGTACTTGAAGATACTTGTATAAAGCAGGCCTGAAATAGCAGGCACTTTATTAGACAAAGGTAGAATCCTGTATAATGCTATTGAAGGTTAAATTTAAAGTCAGGAGACCTTTACTGGGTCCCTAACTATTCATATTGACTTTGCTTCACTGTTAATAAATTATGTTAAATGAAAACTGTAGTACAAGGGATAGCCCACTTAGAAACAGCTTAGGCTTGCTAAGAAATGGCCATGCTGCCCCCCTGATGCCTTCCTTCCCCTTACACAGTTTGGGTGAATCTGGTTACCAAAGTAAAGGAAGTAATGGAGCAAACCAGAAATGGTTTCCCAGGCATATCTGCTTTTTTAATAGTGTAATTCCCCTGTCCCCAAATATTTTTTCTCTCACTGCTTACATCTTTCCACTTCATTTCACATACACTCTGCTGTTTTGCCTAAAAAAATGTGCATTTAGGTTAACACTGTTAGAAAATACAGGATTCTGGTGGAGAGCAATTGCTCACACCCTGGTGGCTCAGTTTATGTGTCCCTCCAAAAGAGCATCTGGCTGCCCCGAGGTAATAAATATTAGAAGTTACACTCCCTGTATCTGTCCATTTATTGCCATCTTCACTACTACTACCTTGGTCTGGACCAGCTTCACTCCTCACCTGACACCTCTAACTGTTCTTGCTCCTGTAGTCATTTCACCACAAAGCAGCTTGAAGATGTCTTTAAAAATATTAGATCATAATGAACAAAATAAGCTAACAAAATAGAAACATATTTATAGATAGGGACAGACTGACAGCTGACAGAGGGAAAGGGAATTGCAGGGCTGGGTGAAAAAGGTGAAGGCGTGAAGAAAAATAAAATAAAACCCAGACACAGAAAACTAAGGTGATTACCAGAGGGAAAGGTAGAAGAGAGTAAATGAGAGATAAATGGTGGCAGAAGACTCGACTTTGGGTGATGAACACACAATACAATAACAGATAATGTATCAGAGTTGTACGCTTGAAACTTATATAATTTTCTTAACCAATGTCACCCCAATAAATTCAAGTAAATATATACATACATATCTAAGAAAATGATATCAGGTATGCCATATCTCTACTCAAAATGCTCCAAATAGCTGCCAGTGTTGCTCAGAGTAAGATCAAAACTTCATACACAGCCTACAAGTAAGGCCACTTACCTTCATTTCATTCGCTCCCCCCTTATTCAATATTTGCCATCCTGTGGGATCTTTCTGTTCCCCAAACCTCCCATCTTTACTTCCACCTCACAGATTTGCATTGGCTGTTC